ACCTTCGTCCTGTAGCACAGAGCAGGGTGCAGAAGGCCAGAGGGACTCTGGAGTGGCCAGTAGTGAAAATCTAGCAACCCCAAGTGATGGTTCTCTTTGTGGTAATATGCCTATCTGTCCTCTGATCCAACAGCTCTTTTTCTAGCTTTTAAATCTCGGAGGTCAGCCATCATTCTACTCCATTTCCAAAGTATTTCCTACCTACAGCAGCACAGTCCAGGGAACAGGTTGTTGAAATGGTGTGTGTGTGTGTGTGTGTGTGTGTGTGTGTGTGTGTGTAAGAGGTAGGGCGGGGCCCTCACAGCCTGTACTCATTTTCTCTTCTCAAGGATTTCAGTACTTCTTTTTCTAACTGTGGTCACTTGAGCCCAATCCCAGTTAGCTCAGTATTGAGTGATCAGGTTTCCTTTTTGACCTGGCTGTTAGGAAGCTACAGAAGATTGTGTAGCTCATCTTTATCAAGGACATATACACATTTCTCGTAGTGGCACATGAGTACATTTAGGTCAGGGCTTCTCAACCTTGGCATTATTGACATTTGGGGCCAGAGAATTCTTTGTGAATGGGGAATATAGTATGCTTATTCACAAAGTGTTTTATCCATGGGGACTGTCTTGTGCATTGTAGGATGTTTACAGCATCTCTGGTCTCTATCCACTCGATATCTGTAGCTCCCCCTCCCCTTCTTATCAACACCCTATTCTCTGGGGAGGCAAAATTGGCCTCTATTGACACCACTGCTCTAGGTGAAAAAACAGGTATAGGCGAGAGGTGAGTTAAAATACAGTGCCTCTCCTGATTGTGTCACTTTCACTAAATATATTTATATACTCACACATGTATTTTATATGTTTATTTATATATGTGATATTACATAATTTTGAGAACATTTTTATTAAAACAAATATATTATGGAGTACAATTTAATACGTGCATCAATTTTTCGATAAAAGATCAAGAGCTGCAGGCTATATAATCCTTGTTGTAAACATCAACAAATACATGTAACAAAGCTATCAGGCTGGATTTTTCTGCTCTTTGCAGACATGTGACCTTGGCTGAAGGCTCTGTATGTGCCGTTTCTGACTCAGCAACAAGCAGAAATATCACTGGCTCCACAGAAAGGCACTTGCATCAAATATTTAGTGACTTTAGTAACTTTATTTATTTATTATGTAATAAATACAATGTCTAGCATTAGCTTCTGAGAGAATAACATGTTCTTCACTTCAATAAATATATGCAAAGGAGTGAGGGAAATTTGAGGTATAACTAAGCTGTAATTGGGGGAAATTTTAAGTGTCAGATCAGGCTTAAAATTAAAGTCTCTTCTATACATTTTGTTTTATGGATCTGAACTTCCCTCTCACCCCTGATCATTGGGGTTGTGATTCCTTTTACAAATTTAACTACATTTTCAGGCTCTATTCCACCCTGATATATTTTCTTTAGCCAAGCTACTTGAAAACTTAAGCAGCTTAAAATGATCATTTTAATTTCTTATAATTCTATGGGTTGACTGGGTTGAGTTGTGAGCTTCTTTTGGTTGGGGTGCAATCATATAAACTTCACTACATCAGAACATCAAGACAGCTCACTGACAGGATGCATTTGATGCTGACTACCGGTGGGCTGCTCTGCTGGGGCTACTGACTGGAGAGATACATACTAGATTTTTCACAGCACGGTGACTTGTTTCTGAGAGGATGTGTCTCAAGAGAGATCATTTCAAGAAAGAGTAAGTGGAAGATGCCAGTCTTAAGACTAGATACGAAACTGGCATAGCATAAGTTCTGCAGTGTTCTCTAGGCTATGCAGCCACAGGGCCAGCCTAGGTTCAGGGGGATGAAAAAGAAACTCCTCTTCCTGATGAGGAGAGTGACACAAACTTCACAGCAATCTTTAGTCCACCATGACCTCCAAGTGTTTTCTGGAGTCACAAGAATTTTTGAATTCTACATGGAATTTTGAATTCTACATGGAATTTGAATTCTACATGAATTCTACATGGAATTTTTGGATTCTACATGGAATTGGGGGATTCTACATAGAGCCACTTTGGTTGTCATTAAATCTGGTATCTGGGCAGCATCACTTTCACCAATTTGGCCCTTGTCTGATCTAGTTCTAGTTCTTCTCCAATACTGTCTTCTTCTTCTTCTTTTTTTAATCTTAGACTTTGTGTACATCTCAAACCGGAGGTTACATTCCCTTCCACTTCTCCTTTATTTCAGATATCAGGTAAACACTAGGGCATGATCATCCATGCTATTCCAGGAAGTCCTTACTGTTTTCTTAAAAAATATGTTCATTTTCCATGAAAATCTTCCAACTGGGGGCAGGGGAGTTATGGCTTCAATCACAATCCTCTCTGTGGGAAGAAGTGTCAACTGGCAGTTTTTTGAGTTGTGAGACCTATGTTTATTTATCTTGGTAATTACCCATAGTTGAAAGCCTATTTTTCAACCCCCCCCCCAATTTTGTTGACTGGATAGCAGATGAATTTTTAAAGACAAAAGGAACTAAAGCAACAGAAATGGAGTGAATGAAGTTCTCTAGAATTAGCTTCTAAAAACAATCATATGACTTGGAGATCTCTATATTCTGTTGGCCCATGGAATAAAGGCCAAATCCTAGGCATAGTGTATGAGGCCCATTCTGACTTGGTTTCATTTCATTCTTTAATTTTTACCCTCTCCCTGCTACACACCATAAGCTCTAACTCAATACTTAAGTGTGGTTTGAGGACTACTTGTGTCACCATTTTTTAAAAAAGATTTATTTATTTATTCACAAGAGACACAGAGAGGCAGACACATAGAGGCAGAGGGAGAAGCAGGACCCCTGCTGGGAGCCCAACGTGGGATTCCAACCCAGGATCCTGGGATCATGACCTGAGCCAAAGGCAGATGCTCAACCACTGAGCTACCCAGGTGTCCCTACTTGTGTCACTATTAAAAATGCCCATCTGTGGGTACCATTCAGGCCTATGAAGTCAAAATCTTTGGGGCAGGACCCAGGAATTTGTATTTTAACAAGCACCCCAGAGATTCATAGATACACTAAAATTTGGGGGTCATTCCTAGCTGTCTTGGTATCTTCAGCACATTTATAAGACTTTTCAAATAATGAAGCATATCAGAGGTTGTGCTAGAAAATATCACTACCATTATCTAAAATGAAGAAGGGGGGGGAAGCCTGGGTGGCTCAGCGGTTTAGCACCTTCAGCCTAGAGGATGATCCTGGAGTCCTGGGATCGAGTCCCACTTCAGACTCCCTGCATGGAGCCTGCTTCTCCCTCTGCCTGTGTTTCTGCCCCCCCCCCCGTGTCTCTCATGAATAAATAAAATAAAATCTTTAAAAAAAATAAAGTGAAGGGAAGAATTCCTCTCAGAGGTGAGGATCTGTTCTTCATCTAGAAGACACTGTAAAAGTGTGGGAGGAAAGAAGAATATAATTTCATTGGCTTAGGATGGAAGAATAAAGCCTTAAAAACTGTCCCTTTGTGGAAGAATCCAAATCCTTTCCTGGTCTGTGTTCTTTTCTCATTTCTCAGTGTTTGTACCCCACCATGAACCCTGGCGGTCTGGAGTGCTGTCTGCCTACCTCTGGACTAACAGCCTGCTGCATATGCTCTCCCCTCCCTGGGAGAACTGCAGGGCCCGTTCTTCCCAGTTAAGACCCAATGCAATGTCACCTCCTGCCCTGATTTGAAGTCACTCACTTCACTCCTTGCACTCATGTCACTTTCTCATGTATTCTGGACATAACTCAAATGTCCCTAACCTATAAGTACAAATGCAGTCATGCTAAGTGAGAATACCGACTTTATTAGATTGGTAATTTTTTTTTTTTTTTTTTTGCCCTGGCAGCTCCAGGCAGGGCTGTCTTCCTGTGTTTAAAAATGAGTCCACACACCCTGGTGCAGCTGCTATTCAGCCACCGATTTCTCTCCATCTCCTCTCTCTCTCCCCTTGAACTCACAGCTAACAGCTCAGTCCCTTTGCACGGATCGCCTGGACTCCAATCAGTTCGGCTGGCACCGACTCCGTGCGCTCAGTGTCTCTCTCTAGATCGATAAGCTTGGGCTTTGCCACGTGTGCATCTTGTCGCAGAGGCAGTGCTTTACACTCCAGAGGTGCTAAATGGCTTGGGAACGCAGTTTTGAGACTGACAATTGGATAAAGAGCAGAATGAGCATCGGAGGAGGAAAGCCCCACGAGGGCTCAGCTGAGCCGGCTGCCACCACTGGGCGCTGACCCTGGCTCCCAGTTTCCGCAGCCACAGCCTATAGGGGAACACCTGTTAGCCCGGATGCCCTTGTTTTCTTTGTCAGACTGAAAAAGTAGGGCTGCCAGCTGCTTTCCACAAAACCCTGGATGCGCTCGGCAGATCCGACCCGCGAGCTCAAACACCGCCTTGCGAACCTGGGCGCCCAGCCACCCTCCAGGGATGGCGGAGGAGGGAGGGTCTCGGGAGGGGCCGCCCGGTGGCCGCGGGACCTGGGCCCGAGGCTGTCAGCCCGCCTTGCCCTTGCTGCCCTCGCTTGGGAAGGAGGCCCGGGGGCGGGGGGGGTCCTCGGTGGCTTTCCCGTGCAGGGCGGGCGGCGCTCGCAACGGGGAGCGGCGCGCAGACCCGGCCCCCGCCCCCGCCCCGCAGTCCCCTCCGGGCCCGCAGGCCCCTCCCCGCGACCTGTCGCGTGGGCCTCGGGCGGGGGCGGCGGCGGCAGCGTCGGGGATTCCGGCGAGTCCCAGCCCGCGCTCCGAGGCCTCGCGGGGGGCGGGGTCTGCGGCGGGGGCGGGGCCTCCAGAGGGCGGGGCTTGGCGCCGCGCGGTGGGCGGGGCTTCCGGAGGGCGGGGCTTCGGCGCCGGGAGGTTGGCGGCGGCCGCGGCTGCGGCGGAGGAGAGGAGAGGGGAGGGGAGGGGAGGGGAGGAGGGAGGAAGGAGGGGACGGGACGGGAGGGGAGGGGAGGGGAGGGGAGGGAAGGGGGCGGCCGGCCGCGGGGAGGGAGTGAGTCACCTGACCGCTGCCCGCGCCGCCCGCCGGGCTCGCTCGCTGCCGTCAGTCGGGCCGCGCGGCGCCTCGGCTCTGGTGAGTGGCTCGGCGTCCGGCGCGCCCTTCCCGGGAGGGTCCGGCGGGGCTGCCCGCCTGTGAGGGGCCGCCCGCGGGCAGGTCCGGGGAGGCGGGCGGGCGGCGGCGGCGGCGGCGGCGGCGGCGGCTCTTCCTGGAAGTGGCCTCGGCCGCCGGAAGGGGCGACCTGCCTGCACCCCGTGCTCCGCGCGCGGGGCCGGCGCTGTTGTTTACGGGCCCTCCCCGCCCCGGGTCGCCCCGGGTCGCCCCCGGGTCCCGGCCCGGCCCTCGTAGCCGCGGCCCGCCCGGGCTGTGACACATCAGCAGCGCCCGCGCGGCCGGCCCGGCGCCGTGTCGCCCTCCCGCCGCCTCCCGCCGCCCTCCCGCCGCCTCCCGCCGCGTCCCGCCGCGTCCCGCGAGCTGCTTGCCTCGGGGCGGCCGGGCCGGGGTGCCTGCCGCGCGGGGAGTCGCGTTAAGAATGGCCGAGGGGGTGGCTGGAGCAAAAAAAAAAAAACAAACAAAACAAAACAAAACAGAAACAAACAAAAGCACCCCCCACCTTGCGGGGCAGGTTCGCAGGCCGGACATCCCGGAGCGCCCTTTGTTGGAGCTGCGCCCACCCGCTGTAGCTAAGGCTCCCGCCGTGCGCCGACGGTGGGTGCGGGTGACGGAGGCGCCGGCTTTGCGCCCGGCGGGGGGGGGGGGCGCCGGGGCCGCTGCTCTCCCCTCCTCGCGCGGCGGCTTCGTGTCCCCGAGGGGCCGTGCGCGGCTCCCTTTGTGCACCGAGCCCTCCGCGTTCACCTTGGGCTGATGCAGGTATAGCGTAGTAGTGATTGTGAAAGACGCGTGTGGGGGAAGAAAAAAAAGCGAAACAAAACACCAGGCTGCTGTGTGATGCTCGAAGGAACAAAGGCTGTTTCCCGCAGGGATGCTCGTCTGTTGGGAGACGGGAGTCGCTGCTGGGACTGTGACCCGCGGAGGATGCCGCTACCGCTACCGGGCCTTTGTGCGTGCACGTGCTTTAGCGCTCCCGATGGCCGGAGGCTTTGCATTTAGAGCAGTCCGGAGAGCTCAGGGGCGGAATACGCCAGACGTGTCGGTGACTGAGCACTTGAGCGCTTCACATGGTCAAGCAGAGAAATGGGAAGAGGTAGGCAGGCTGCTTCCTGGTCTTGGGTAGTGGTGCAGAAGGGCTGGGCTGGGCTGGGCTGGGCTTGAAGGCACTTGCCACTTCTGTCTTTGGCTAAAGAAGCCTGGGGAAGAAAAGGACCGTTCCCGAGTCAGCTTGGAGTGGGATGGCTTCGGCTTAGTGACAGCATCGCGTGGTGTGTCACTGTTGTCTAACATGGCTGTGTCTAGTGGCTTGCCATTGTTCAGTGTGTTGGTTGGATAACAAGGTAGGATGACTCCTTAAAAAAGTTAGGTTGCTGAGTCATTCACCCCAGCCTGAGAGGTGATTAAGAACAGCTGGTGCAGACACTCTTCACCACATGCCTCCACCGTAAAAGGCCAAGGAGAGCTCCAGAGGGGTTGTTTCAGAGGCCTGAAGGGGACCCAGCCAGGGGTGTCTGTTTTGATACAGGTAATGAGCGGGTGAAGTGCAGGAGCAGCCTTAGGAAGTGGCCAGGTGGTGTTTAAAGACAGACTGGCCTTAAGAATACATTTGTGCTGGAGAGAGCTGAAACGGAGGAAGACGTTTACAGCCAGGAGTAACCTACCACCAGCAGGAGTGTCCTAAAAAATAATTTACTACCTTTACTGTACTTAGTTTTTTTTTTTTTTTTTTTTTTTGTTTCCCTCTTGTGGTTTTGTTGTTATGTGGTTTATACATTTCAAAAAGTGAACTTAATTTGTTCTTCGTAAAAAGTTCTTTATGAGAGCACAGAAGGAGACTTCCTCTCGGTTTTCACGGCCCTTGGCTTTTTTGGTGCATACAGTCGTAGTTTCCAGCGGCGGAGACAAGGGTAAGGAGAATATGAGTGGAATTGGCAGGTGTCATTGGGTCAAGTCTAGAAAGAGCTGTCTAAGGGAAGGTAAACCGTATACATGTCTCATTCACTCAGTTACGGTGGTGCTAGAGTGTCATTACTTCTTGCTTTAAAAAGGACCCAAGCTCACCAGCCAGCCCCCATTGTTAACAAAGTTTAGGAATGGGAAATGTGGAGGGGAGGGTGTGGAGAATGGCCCTTACCTGTGGTCCAAAGAATGACTAATTCTTATTGATGGTAATTCACTTAAAACATTTTATGGAGGGAAAAAATGGTTAATTTTATTGCTCCAAGTTTGGGACTATAGGAGATTAGAAATCATGAACTTTTTATAGGTATTAGGTTCTCTAATATGGTGTGCCAGATGATTCATATGGAACAAGATATTAAAACTTTGATTTTTGAGATTTTAATTTTATGGCAAATAGGAAAGCTTCAATATAAAGATTAATGGTAGTACATACATGTTATGTAACGTGGGTACATGCTCCTCTTTTTCTGTTGGGAACATGAAGAATTTAACCACTGCCTGTAATATTCTTCCAGCATCTGGAGTATTTTTTCTTTTTTAAGCTTCTGATTTCCTTTTAAGAGCTAGCATTCTTTCAAAATGTTGTTAATACTCATTTAATTTTTATTGCATACGTAGTCCTTTTTATGCTGTACTTTAAAGATTGGAAGCTTGAATGTAAATTTCTCATTACACTGTTGATATCAGGAATGGAAATTAAAAAAAAATACAGAATTGCCCATTACATATTGGAGACAACCAGATGGTTCGTTTAATGTGTATGATCTGAAGTATAATAATACGGAAAAGGGTGCAGTGGGAGCACCGGAAGATAATCTATACACTGGAGTATGACTTGTTTATAACAAATTCTTTTAACAGTAATTCTCTTCTGTTACTCCTTGAAGTCATTTTTTGGGGCCAAGTTTACATCTGCTTTATTAAGGGTTAATAAGACTACATATTCAGCAAAGCACTCGGGAAGTGGAATTCCCCCCCTTAGGGGGATGTGTATATTCAGAAAATCAACTTCTAAGTATGCTGAGGAGGGATGGTTAGTATTTACCATTCAGTTAAATGTCATAGGCCATGTGCCTTCCACACTCCTGTACCGTGAGAAATGATGTTTAGAATAATGATTGTAAAGTTCTTTAAAATGACTAATTGTCAGAGATTCCATTCACAGTGCATATCTCTCCAAGACTTGTATTTTAGGAATCAGCTTCTTCCAATTTTCTGACTAATGTTCTGTTCATGGGAACATTGCTTTAACCCGAAAACTCGCATTTCCTGAGGGTTCTGTTAAATGGAGGGTGTACTTTATGTGGTGGAATAAATGATTTATAAAATGTTTGATTAAAAAAAAAATACCCAATGATAGCCCAAGGTATGGGTAAATTGAGCACTCTTTGCCAGAATCCAGGCCCCTTGAAGAGAGTAAACATTTCTGAACTGCAGGTAAAATAGATTTACACCACCATGAAACCTGGACTTCTGGCTTACTCGCTGGATAACATTAACAGAACTGAAGGTTTGGTGAGTGCAGCGGACAGAGAGGCGGTAAGTGAAGTGGTTAAAACTGGGGGATCTGGGGCAGCCCCGGTGGCCCAGCGGTGGCCCAGCGGTTTAGCGCCGCCTTCGGCTGGGGTGTGATCCTGGGGACCTGGGATCAAGTCCCACGTCTGGCTCCCTGCATGGAGCCTGCTTCTTCCTCTGCCTGTGTCTCTGCCTCTTTCTCTCTCTCTCTCTGTCTGTCATGAATAAATAAATAAAATCTTTAAAAAACAAAACAAAAAACTGGGGGATCTGAAGCCAGACTGTCTGTGGTCCAGTTCTGGCTCTCTTGCCCATTTTACAGCCTTTAGCAAGTTACTTTACCTCCTTGTGCCTCTCTTTTTCATCTGTAAAAGGGGAGTGATGATGATGGAATGTATATCATAGAGACAGTTTGGACATTAAACGCACTAATATTTAAGTGTTGGCTCTATCTTAAACATTAATACATGTTAGGTATTACTATCTGTTCAAAATCAGGGAAGTGCTCCGTTACACAGCCACATTTTGCAGCCTCTTTGTACTGAATTGCAACCATTGATCACAAGGGAGACTGGAGACGGTGTGCAGATGTGTGGCACATTGCTGTTACTGGAAAAACAACTCCAGTGAACATTCTGATGTTAAGTCAGTAGCGGCAACTCAAACATCCAACTTCTGAGGTCAAGGAACACAGGATATGGCTTTTTACTAAAAGGATCTAACCACCTCAACAAAGGCCGGGAGATGGTCATCACCAGTTAATTGGAATTGGCTTTTGAAGAAATAAATACTTCCCATTCTGCATCTAGTCCATTCTGTATGTGATAGTGGTCTGGCAGGTTTAGTAACCTGTTTATTGCTTCCTTCTGCATTAATATCAGGACAGACTAATTTCTTAGTTCTCCCATGCAGTTTTTGGGGAACATTTGGAATGTTAAATATACCTGCCAATTACTCCTGAGTATTGTACTTTCTTTAAATGACATGCCTATGCCAAGATAGAAAAATTAGCCGTAATAAATAGTGGATATGTTTATCATATGGCTTCTTGCACCTGTAGGGCATTCAGAAAGGTTGTGTCAAACATTCTGACCATCCTTGAGAATATGAGTTTCTTTTAATTTATTTGTTTGTGTATGTATGTATGTAATCTCTACATCCAACATGGGGCTTGTATTCATGACTTGAGATCTAGAGTTGCATGCTCTTCCCACTGAGCCAGCCAAGCTCCCCAGAGTGTTTCTTTCTTATCTGTCTCTCTTTTCTTTTCTCTTTTTTCTTCTTTTTTTCTTGCTTTCTTTTCTTTCTTCGCCCTTCCCTTCCCTTCCCTTCCCTTCCCTTCCCTTCCCTTCCCTTCCCTTCCCTTCCCTTCCCAGAGCTCAAACAGGGGGAGCAGCAGGCAGAGAAGAGGGAGAAGCAAAATCCCACTGAGCAGGGAGCCTGATGTAGGGCTTGATCCCAGGACCCTGGGTTCATGACCTGAGTCCAAGGCAGACGCTTAACTGACTGAGCCACCCAGGTTCTCCAGAGTGTGATTTTCTTGATGATGAAGATACACGTTTTGTGTTTTACCTCCCATGGGACATTGAGTGTGTCCTGGCTGTGTCTCTTCTGCAAACTTTTGCCACACTGGTGATATGGTATGGATTCATTTTAGTTCTGTGATTTTCAAACTTGGGAATTTTTTAGAAGAGTGAAGGAGAGGACATTATGTGCTGTACCTCTTCAGTTATGTTAAATGTGTACCGGGGAGAAACTTCTGATCATTTAAAATTCTGCTTTCTGTTTTCGTTATTGGTATGAGTATTGAGGAAGCCGTTGGATTGAAGTCATTCTTTTAGCTCATCTCTTAAGAGAAAATTTGTCTTGTGACAAAAATTTTTCACCTGTAATTTATTTAGGATTGAGTTGAGCAAAATGTAATTTGGATTGGCCAGATGTTAGACCTCTCATGTATCTAACACTTCTCCTTCTCTAGAACAGATCCTTTGTTGTATTTAGGATTAGGGACAGTTTAGAGAATATTAATAGGGTAATAAAAATTACTCCAAAGCAAACATAAGGAAGAAACAGTAGTTGCCAGGATCTTGGTTGTTAATGACTATTGTAGGAGCACAGTGGGCATGCTGTGAAGTTGGCAAGGCTGCTGGTCCCTTTCTCAGTACTGGCACAGTTTTGAAAACGTTACCTTAATGCATTTGAACCTGTGTGTAAATCATGTTCTTGTAAAAATAAATTTAAATCATTTCTTAATGCCTTAGGAAACTCATTCCAAAGAATATTTTTGTTATAAAGTTGTTATTCCCAGGTCTATCTGATAAAGTTATTTCACTTTTGTTGTTGTTGTTATTTTTTAGATTGGCTTAGAGTCACAATGGACAGTTGTATTCCATTTCCCCACCCCCATTAAAGTGGAATTACACTAAAAAGTGTATGTCGTGAAGTCATTTTTCAACCCCTTTGTAGCCTGGACATTGATAATATCCTACTTGCATGGTAATAGACTAAATAGTGTGGTGAGGATAATAATGTTTTGCCCCTCTCTCCTGTCTTTATGCCTTATTCCGCCTTTAAAGTGTACCAGCATCTTTTGGAAGTCAGCTAAGTCAGTGAAGGAAATGATCCATCAGAGAGTTTATTATAAAATATGTCTATAAAAGATTTATTAGTCTTTGAATAAATTTATGAGGTTATAGTTATTAGGTTGTCATTTTGGAGTAAGTAGTTTTCAGTAAGATCAGTAATATCATTAGTGTGTATTTGCACTTAAATGTTGTTTTTCAGAAATGTAAAGTGGTTATCAAATCTTGGCCCAAGACACTTTTCATTTTCAAAGAACCTAACGTTTCCTTATTTACTCTGTTTTTCTGAGGCGTATTCCCAGCGTGGCTCAGGGTTCTCCTACAGATAGGATTTATCACTTAATTAGAAGAAGAAAAATACCCATTGGCTCTTTTAATCATTTTTTTTTTCCACATTAGTAAAAGACTTTTGAAGTAGAAAAGCATTTTGCCCAGCTGAATAGGGTTACATGTTTTCATTCTGAGCCGTTATCCCGAGAAATCAGAGGAAATGATAGATAGGGATGAGTCTGTAGCTCCTATAACTTGGCCTACTTAATGGTCTCTCTGTGGGTAAAGGATGGCCATAAGTCCTTTTCAAACTCTCAATACATTTCTTGGGGTTTTTAAAAAAATGTGTTTTGCTTCTCCTGGCATGTCTATTGTCACTGGCCTGGTTTGTTGTCTGTTCCAGACCTCAGGAGGGCTGGGACACCTTTCCGGAGCAGGTTGGTGGCATTGCACAGCAGTGGCAGAGGAGCTCAGAGACTAGGTTCCCTGCCTTTGCTTCTCAGGCCCTGGCCCCGCCCCTCCACGGAGTTAACTTCGAGCAGCTATCTTATCTCTGAAGAGTAAAGAATAATTGTGTTTTTAAGTTTCAAGGCACTTTGGTCTCTTATCTTCCCTTGCATGCTGTTCCTCTCCCCAAACTTAAACACAAACACACAATCAGCTTTTGGTGTGTATAGATAGTAGGGTTGGTAAACTCGTTTCATCATCTGTGGTATGCCATTGTTAGGTATTGGGTTTACATTTGACTTATGAAAGAAATATTTATGCCTTTGTATGCCAGGAACTTTTGTAGATATTGGGAATATAAAACTTTTTAGAAGTTACTAAGAGACAAACCATTACTATAGCATGTGTTACTTGCTGTAACAGCAACATGTGAAATGTGCCTGGGAACCATAGAATATAAGAAACCTAAGTTTTAAGAAATCAGGAAAGCCTTAGTGAAGTCAATGATGAATGCATAGTTGAGCAGAGGAAACAGCGTGTTTTGACATTTCTTTGGAGAAGTTTAGCATGGAAGAAGAGTAGAGAAGAGGGATTTTAGTAGGGGGAAGTTGGGTCAGGAAGGGTGTGTGTGTATGTACGTATATAACAAAATTATCTCAGTGGGACAAGGTTGAAGCAGGATGTGTCTTTCTTTTGTTCTTGGCTGGTTCCTCTTATGGTTGCAAGATGGCTGCTGTAAGTTCAAGTGTCAGGAGTCAATGACTAAGTTTCTTGGGAGAGGACTATTTATTTTCCCCTTAGGATGTTTCTTAGTAAGTAAATCCTTTCCCCAAAGCATCATAATAGATGCCATCCTGACCCTCTTCTCTCTGTTCCTGGGCCAATATTTTACATAAGTCCATACCTAAATGAGTCAATATCAAGGGAAATGAGACCACTGTGATTAGCTGATGGAACATCATTCATCTTCAGTTGGGACCAGGATCTGCTTCCCCAGAAACACATGGCCTTAGGTAGAGAGTAGCTTTGTGAACACAATCAGGGTATGATTAGAAAATGAGGGAGTGAATGGTGTTGGGTGGTCAGCAGTAACGCCCTTGCCTATTATTTACACCATCACTACACACAGACATATACTTCTAAGTAGAAAAAGAAAGTGTGGTTTTCTTTGATTTGGAATTTTAGGTGACTGCCCCCCTCCCCATCTTATTATATTTCCTGCCATGATCAAGTCTTACTTTAACAGTCAGATTAAATACATGTTTTATTTAGAAATATTTTAAAATTGAAAATGCCCGTTCTGCCCCCCCCCCCATAAAACCCTATGGAAGGAGTGTATTTCTCCTAGTACTCTAAACAGTTCAAAAGTTCTATGTCCTTTCTCTTAGTACTCTAAACAGTTCAAAAGTTCTATGTCCTATATTTTCAGGGTAAGGAAAATGTATAATTATATTTTGTAGCTTCTGATTATATCTATACCAAGAGAATCCCCCTTTCTCTCTTAATCTGCAGGGCACCCGCACCTGTGATATCTGTGGCTCTCCTGAGTGGTGAGACTGGGTTGGCTGGAATAGAGTGCTTGATTCATTGACTTGGATGGGCAACATTCTTTGGAACTCAAAGTCTTGAGTTAGATACAAACAGGAGCATCGTACTCTCTCTACGCACACATTCCCATAGTGGGAGGAAAAGTGGTCCTGTGGTCAGTTTATTTGTTATTCTTTTCGAACTTCAAGAATAATGCCACTTTAAATTTATATAGCATTCTTCTAACATTTCCAAACTTTTTAGAGTACTTTGATAATACTAAAGGAGTTTTATTCTTGTCATTCTTGTTCCTTCTTTTCAGTGCCAGGTTTTGGTGCCATGTATGCTTGTGAAACAAATGATATAAGTACATAAACAGTGTTGTAAATTCACAAAGTAGAAGTTAATTGCTAATAGGTTTTCCTATTTGATAATAACAAAGAGGCTGTGATATAGATGGTTAAGGTAGGGTTTTGAAATGGTATTAATTTTTTTAATAGAATTTAGGAAGCCTATACTGCCAAAATAATTGTCTCAGGTAAAAAGCAATAGTATTTATCTACTCAGTGTTCCTTGAATAATATTTGCAGTGAGAAATATTTCAGCTTTTTTTTTTACAAGCCTCATATTTACTTATTTAATAAAATCTTGTAATTATTGTATTTGGGAAAGTGGCTATGAAGGCTTAGGTGGAAAGTCTGCGGCTTGGAAATCCCCATTTAGAGATGGTGATTTTGACCTCCAAGTTAACTTAATAAAATTACAAGAAAGAGATTTAAACATTTTAGTTTTAGCTATGTGCATTATGTATATTGAGATACTGCAGCACTACGGTGGCTCTCGGGTTAGGGGATCAGGTTATTTTTAAAGAAAGCACTTCAATTTCATACCTCTACTTAATTTAAAAAATTTCAGATCTGTGATTCATTCAGTATTCTAATTATTCCCCTATAATTGTGCCTTATTTAATTAAAATTATTACACAACTTTTTAAATCTTTTTTTTTTTTAAACTCAAATTTATTATGAGTTGGAGCAAGATGATGTATAAGGAGGGCTTGGGAATTTGGAGGCACTTTTTCTTCATTGTCGTTTGTCTCCTGCCTCTCCCCCTTCCAGTTACTTTGCATACTATATGTGTTAACTCTTAGATCTATAAGGTTTTTAAAATTTTTTAAATTTATTTTTAAAAAGATTTTATTTATTCATGCGAGACACACAGAGAGAGAGGCAGAGACATAGGCAGAGGGAGAAGCAGGCTCCCTGCAGGGAGCCAGATGTGGGACTCCACCCTGGGATCCCGGGATCATGCCCTGGGCCAAAGGCAGGGGCTCACCTGCTGAGCCACCCAGACATCCCTATATCTATAGTTATAGTTATAGTTATAGTTATGGTTATGGTTATAGTTATATATATAGTTATAGTTTGATATAGTTTTAGGACTTTCACTTCCTCTAGGCAATCAGAAATAAATAATTTGGTGGATCATGGTTATACTTTTTATAGTTTGAAAACAAAATGACATAGGAAGAATTTATAATATTTAATTTGAATATAGGACATGAACACTTTAAAACCCTGTATCGAAAGTAGCTTTTAGTGAAATGTCTCTTAGTATTCTGTTTTTAAATTTTCTTTTTATTTTTCTTAAATTTTCCATATATAGAGTATAACTACAGATTTTGACTAAGTTCAGCATAGTTTAATGTTAAATTCATTTTAATGATATATGAGATTGTTTATGTAATCCAAGAAATGTTAATCAGAAATTAATCAATCAGATATTGAGTAATAAAGGGAAATTTGCAATTCCTTGAATGTCCTTTAACTCTAACACACAAGATACTTGAGACATTTCTCTCTGTGCCTAATTCTTCCATCCCTCTTTCACCTGCCCTGCCATCCTCCTCCCCCAAGAAAACCTGCACATATGTGCCTCTTAGGTCATGTGTATGAATTGAAACGTACTCTTTGGATTTGGGGCAGAAGACCTCTTCAACCTTTAAGTTACTAAACCCCTCAGGGTTTCAATTTCTGCATCTATAACAGAAGTAGGGAAGTGGGTCATACTGGATGAATGTGTTTTTTTTTTTTTTTTTTTAATTAGAAATTCTTTAGTTCTGTGAAACTAGCAATTCTCCTGAGCAGACTGGCCAGTTTTGATGTTTTCTTTTTACCTTGTTTGAGATCTTAGGCTTACTAAATTTTTATTCTTAAAGATTTAGGAGCCTCTGCATTTTGTAACTTAATTCCTGGGCCTGTAGAACCTTTTAAAATACAGTTTTCTGTTGGTCACTTGCATAATGATGACAATAATAATAATAAAATATTAATGGTTTTGTGCCAAACACTATGATATTAAATGCACCAAACCATTCGATTCTTAGACTGTTGTTTTTCTTATGGGAAACTTGAAGCATGAAGTCACGTAGCTCATAGAAGATCCCACTGGTAATACTGGCAAAGCTCTAATTGTATCCTAGTACTGCTGTTCTTTCCACTATTATTCTGCTGGTAGTGTTAAAATAGCTTAAACTGTCTTTTCTTTTGCATCTCATAATTCTGTGTGTTTAGCTTTTTTACCCTTTTTAAAGGCTTTTGTGAGACAAAAAAATAGGTCAGGAGATATTACTGAGCTACGTAAGTCTGATAGATGCACATTTGCCCTTGTTTAAATAGTTAGATCTGACTTGATGGATCCTTCCCCCTTATTTTCTTGTAACTGAGTTCTCTTTTTTCCACATTAAGTCATTCTTTATTTTAGAGTCCTATACAGTTTCTTTTATTCTTTCATGATTATTGCAAAGGTATCAATGAAGGCTACTGTGTTTAGAGTTGCTCATGAATTTCATACATTGTCATGACAAACCGGTACGGTACCATGGATGACTAGAGGAAATATACATTATAAAGGAGAAAAAGTATTTGGCAATTCTTTGGAATTGACTCTTTGGGAGCCTTCAAATTTCAATGAAAGGAGCCTTTCAATTTCAATTGAAATAAATGTGAACTGCATTTTTTTGTTCATAGTTGTCTATTTTAACATTTTTCTGATTATAAAGTAATATGTATTTATAGTTGAGAATTTGCAGAAACAAACAAAAATTACCTAGCTGTGACCATAATTAACGTTTTGACATATATCATAACTAGAGGTGGGGGGACAAGTTTTCTTGTGTGTTAAATGTGAGATGCCTGTTATATATACAAGTAGTAATTTGAGTCTGCTGTTGAGTACATGAGTATAAAGTTCAAGAGAGTTGCTGGGATTAGACCAAATATGAGAATGTACAGTAAGTCCATACGTGATCCTGTCCTTGCTTTGGGTCTGAATGAGGTGACCTAGGAAATGTGTGCAAAGAAGAGGGATCTGAGGACTAAGCCCTGGGCTCTCCAGTGTTTAGAGATTTGCAAAAGGAGGATAATCCATCAAAGAAAATTGAGAAGTCCCTGCCAGTAAGGTGAGAAATCAGGACTGTGGTATCCTGGACACCAAGTGAAGAAAGGCTTTCAGGTAGAGAATGATCAACCTGTTGAATGCTGCTGAGATGCTGTATTAGAAGACTGAAAATTTGACAGTTAGCAGTGGTTTCCATGGAATGGAGGAGTAAAGGCCTGGTTTTAGTTGGCTCAAGTGAAATTGGGAAGAGAATAAAGTGAAGACAGTGTATGTAAATGGCTCTTTGGGAATTCTACTATTAAGGCAAGTAGAGAATCTTATTATAGATGGAAGGGTATTGGGAGAAGAGTCATTACAGTATGTTTTGTGTGATAATGGGAATGCTGTGTATTCATATTTTTTTTCTTGGTGAGACTTTGCAGAAATTTGTCAATTTTCCAGGTCTTCTCAGAGCATCAGCTTGTGGTTCAATTTATCAGTTCTACCAAAAACAAATGCAGAATTTTATTATGTGAGTGGTTTTATTGGTAGAAATACAGATTTCATCAGATTTTGTAAGGTTCTAGTGGTTTGTTAGTTCAATAGGTCATTTCTTTAGAAGAAGATACCCTTAATTTTTAAAAGAATCTATTTGAATTGGTATCATTGTCAGTATAAAATATTAAACCAAATGTATAACATTGCTCCTAAATAAGAAATCTTATTATATTTCTTTACCTTCCCACTTCCTAGTTTTGTTAATATAAAATGTTAAAGGTTGATTTTTCTCTTTATCAAATACTTTTTGTATTTGGAAAATCTTCAAAAAATTTAAGACTCACAACCAAGTTATCAACAATTTAGACTTAACCTAGTTTTAATATTTTTTATTTACTATTTAAATATCTTTTATGTTCTTAGAGTAATACATTTTTGGTTTAAAAAATATAGAAAGAGGGGATCCCTGGGTGGTGCAGCGGTTTGGCGCCTGCCTTTGGCCCAGGGCGCGATCCTGGAGACCCGGGATCAAATCCCACGTCGGGCTCCCGGTGCATGGGGCCTGCTTCTCCCTCTGCCTGTGTCTCTGCCTCTCTCTCTCTCACTGTGTGCCTATCATAAATAAATAAATAAAAAAAAAAACAAAAAAAAATTTAAAAAATATAGAAAGATGTATCATGAAGCTACCCTATCTGTTGTACCCCACCCTACCCCTAATTCTGTTTCATAGATAATATTCATCTTTACTTATTTATGCTATTTAATTTTCATGGTAGTTATCTCTCTGTCTCTAAGATGTTTATACCTCAGTTTATTTATGAACCTAAGACATTGTCTGTTGACTGCCTTTTTACCATGGATCTTAATTTTGTTGTTTCTACTATAAGCTCACTTATATTTATAATCTGTTGTTTCATTTCTGTTCTTGGTCACTTCTGCAGCACCACATTTTGTTTTAATTCTTAATTTGATCTCACTAATCTAAGGAAGTATCTTTTGAGTCAGTGTTATAAGTCATACAGAAATACTAGCTTTCCTTTCAGTTCTGATTACATCTCCCAGCCTGTCAATTTTACTTTCATTTTGTCAAGATTAATAATATCTCTATCCCATTTTATAACTGTATTAAGTCTTCCATTATTTGTCTGTTCTGAAAGTTGAAAACCATTTAACAGTGTCTGTTATACCTGTGTTGATATTGGGCCCGGGAAAGCTAAGTAGTGTGTTATTACACTTCTTTAACTAGAGTTTCACTGTTGCCTTATGCTACTCAAAAAACCTTTCTAGCATCAAATTCAA